GGATGATGATGATGATTCGGATGATGATGATGATGATGATGATGACGATGATGATGCATCGGATGACGATGTTGATGGTGATTGTGATGATGATGATGATGACGATGATGTTGATGATGATGATAATGATGGGGAGGAGCAGGAACAATAAACTCGATCGCATGCGGGGTTGCTGGGGATAAACATCTGCCAGACGTTTCATCGCATATTCATACTCAACCAGGGCTAACATCGGGTTAATGAACCATGTTCCTCCCGGTCCATTCTGCCAAATCAAATGACGCTCATAGAAACCTTTTTCTGAATTATCTTTTTTGCCAATTTTATTCGTTGTTTTTCACGTTAAAAACCAAGGTTTTATTTGTAAAAGAAAATTAAGAATCATTTGAATTAGCAAAGTAACCGATTCGAAAGATGGAAAACGCTGGTAATAAATCGGGCGGAAACCTATATTTTGTATACGCGATTGGCGGAGGCTTATGGCAAACAAAAGACAGAACCTCTCAAACAGAGTTTATTGCTGATGGAAAGTAGTTCTTAAAATGACAGTTAAACAGAAAAATCTTTTCCGACTAATACGTATTATCAAATCAGTAAAATGCAACCACTATGTGGAAATGATTGTCCGCTATATGCATACGAATGGCGTGTAATCGAAGCAGCAAAAAGGACCCTTATTACATCTTTTCCTATCCCAAGTTGGATCACGTGATCGACCGACTGTCGGATGGTCTTCTGCCAACGCCAATATTGATTCGTGATTGTCCCGGTTGTGGGACAGGAAGCGTGTCTGTTAGTCCCGTGCCGGACTGGGAATGGAGACTGTCTCGATCATCTCCCGAAAATGAGCAGTCATTGGGGGAATTCGCGATACGCTGCAGATCCATATCGGTATTCCCAATTCGACGGGAGCCAAAATACGCTAACTGCAATGCCGGTATATTGCGATGAGGGAATACAGTAAAATTGCATTAAATTAAAATCACACATTCTGTCGTATAAGTAACAGACAGTTGTTTAAACCCAACCCCTCGGTTTTAGAATGGAATGTGCATTTACCCCATCAACACTGGCCATAATGTGTAGATATTTTACGAACTACCGAACGAATGGCAAACACACCAATAGAAATAATATCATTTTGCGTTTCTAGAATAAACTTTCGTTATCATATTTGAGGAAAAA